AAGAGAATTGCATAAAAAGAATATGGTGAAGGTGTGATGCTAATGGTATGGGGAAACCTGTATTTATTGAGAACACAATAGACAGAATGGTGTATTAAAATATTCTTCTTTTCAGCAAAATATAGATAAATTTGCGTAATAACTTTTAATAATTATATCATTAAATAATATATATATATACCTTTTTTTAGTCACAAGCAAGTAAAAACAAATCGCAATGTAAGATCATCATTTATTTATCAATATTACGTTATTATTATTATTTTATGAATCTCATGGTAATTTTCATAGAAAATTCTAACTATATGCTATGATAGAATGCAACCTTTAATAGCTATAACATTAATAAATACAAGGTGATTCAGAAATAGTCAAAAATGTCAATGACCCCCTATAAGACAAATTCATGTAACTCATCAGAAAAATTATGAACGTGCTTGTATAACACACTGAAAGAAGCTCGTATAACACGGCAAAAAAATTAGATGTTGCGATTTTATTACATTTTAGTTCCAATAATTAAGATAACATTTAGCTGGTTATTGAAATGGCAATTCAGAGTTATCTCAAGAAGCACCTTACCTTGGAGGTTGGCTCATGAAGACAGACTGAAAATTTTATTTTTAGATACAATGTGAAAAAAGATGACACAAGATATTGACTTGAGAAGAGCAGACTTACTGAAAAATGAAAACACTTTTCAATCTGACTACCCTTGCCTGGACTCTTAAGAAGAGCAGAAAAATGTATATCTCCTGAAGACAAAATTTTGGATAGGTTAAAACCTGGTGAGAAAGTAATAGCCATTGCTAATGATTAAAATTAAATGAGGCAAAAGTTTGAACAAAATAAGAACTAGAATTTCTACCGAATCTTTAATAAGTTTGCATAAAACTGCTCTTATAAAAGACACTTTAATGCCTAAACAGGAAAAGTGTTTGATGTTATAGATAAAAGATTGCTCTTCAAGGAATTTTCCTTTGAATAGCAGTATGATAAAATAAAAGGAAACAAAGATTTACCAATGAATAAAAGAGCTTGAATCCATTTCTTTTAATAAATCCCATCAATTAACTAACAAATTTAGGATTAAATTTCCTTTGGGCAGTGTCAAAATTGTGGGAGAAAGCGCCAGCATAGAAGCAACCCAAGGATTCCGAGAGAAGCTTTGTAAAATTGTAGAAGACTGAAATTACACTGCAGATCAGGTACATAATGCCAACAAAACTGTGTTACATTGGAAGAAAAATGCCCAGATGCAATTACATCTCAAAAAATGAAAAGTAATGATTAAGTTCATAAAGAAAAAGGTAGAAAATACATATTGATAAAATTTTTATGCATTTCTTGAGGAAAAAATATTTATTTTTCAACAGCCATGAAAAGTGTTGTCATGTAGTGTCTTAAGCCTGATTAAAGAAAGTTATTTTAAATATAACAAGTAAGTTAATTGCTTTGGGCTGTGAACAGCTATATTTGTATAATGTAAGTTACTCATACAATACGAATTCATTAAATATGGAACATATCTTTTTGGGGGGAAGGGTCTACTGTATAAGTAAAAGGAACCAAAATAAGCACATTTTGTAATGGAATGTGTGTGCACAAATCTTGTATTAAGGTGATATATAGTACTATTGAGTGATAAGATAAAAGCTTTCTGCTGTTATAAAATGTCGGTCTTCATGTGAATTTCAAATCGTATGCATTGCTACACAAATGCAGAGCTTGCCAATATTCATTTTATGCATGAAGCTGTGGACTGAAATAGATCAGCTGATCAAAGTAGGTACTAAATTCATTCTTTGTACCTTAGCTGTTCCATTCTAGCCATAGTTTAATAGATAATTTCAATGAGATTCTGCATTCATGCAGTGATGCATGCCACCTAAAATTAACACTGGCAATAATGATATATGCCAGTACACTATTACATAAAACTCAATAGTGCCATATGTCACTTTAATGTGCTATTTCTGCAGGCACTTTGAAACACAAAAACTTATTTTGGTCCCTTTTACATTTCCGCCAGATATATTTTAATTGCCTTGTATACATACAATTCGTCAGTTTTTTTAAAAAGTTATCAGAAATGAAGTATAGTTTCTAACTTTGGCCAGATTCTTTTGATCAAGCCTGGAACTAGCCAACCAATATGCACAAAGATAAATGATATATTTTGGACTTGGCCTACACCAGCTAGCAAATATTTAGGCTTTAAATATATGCATATTTATCAACTTTATATATAGCACCTTCTTTAAAAATTATTTGTGTTCTGTAGTCACCTAAAAATCATTTACATGAGCTGAATGCTTAAAAAAATGCATTCAATGTAATAAATTCTATATAAGTACAGGACATGAAAAATTAGATATTCGTTACTTTTGCAGTTAGAGGATGCGTGATGTCATTCAAAATAAAAATTTTTTGAAAAATCTGTATTTTTAAATATCTTGATAAATTCAACTGAAAAAATATTTGTATTTTTTTTTTATTATTTTTTAAACTTTGATACTAATTGAAGACTATCATAAGTAATTGAAGACTATCATAGTAATTGAAGACTATCAAGTAAAACATGTATAAAAAAGTGCAGATTGTGTATTGGTATTTATCATTAGGTATCATTTTTAATCCAAATGAGGTACAGTTAGCAGAGATACATAAATATGCCCTCATATTTTTTATTAATTAATGCTATAAATGTTAAAACCTGATGTAAAATATTAAATGCACATTTATATATATATAATGGCTTACTTTATTACACAAATGAATTATAATATTATAATATGGAAGATAAATGAAAGAGCTTTCATCATATAGATAGACAGTAATTTTGGTTTTTGCCTCTAGTAATATTTTATTCCATCTGTGGTCCGATATAAGTCATGCATGTCAGAGATATTATATAAAAGTGTGTTTTCATGATTCCATACATTTTAGCATTGGAAGAAATAACATTTAAACATTTGTCGTTCGTTGTGAAAAGGGAAAGCAAAAATGATAAGTGTATTGAATACTGAAGTTAGGATTAAACAAAAAAATATTATCCCTTATTATTAATATGTCTCTCTTCAGAAGTGGTGTTTCTGCTTAGAATTCTATGTCTATTATTAAATAAGGAAGAAACTATTACATATGTGTGTATGACTTTTGCACTATGGAATAACAGCTATGCTTACAGCCACCAAATTTTGAACACACATAGCCTTCCACCCTAATGTGTGCTCCTCAAAGCCCAAATTAGAGTTTCTAATTTGTTTTATGCAAACTTAATGAAATTTTGATTAACAACTTGACAATTTAAATGCAATGTGTTGCCACTGAATTGTGCCTGTATAAGATAGTCTTTCAAATTAAATGAACAAACTCGGTGATTCAAGACATGTATATTGCTTAAAATAAAATACTTTTTCTTTCTTGTGTCAGTGTGTTGCTATTAATTAAATCATAATTTATCTTTCACATTTAATCTCTCTGTTTTTGATTAACAAGCTAAGCAATTTAAAAGTAGTAAACATAGTTCATCTTTGCTATTACTTGTTAGCTGGATTCATGAAATTACTCTAGACTTTGTTAAATCATTATATGTATTTTTTTTTCTTTTTTTAATAACTATTTTTGGCAGGTTATAAATATAAACATTCAAAATTCAACTGCAGATAAAAATTTACAGTATTGTTATTATTACAAAACAGTGATTTATGTGTAAAGGCTAAATTTGTAACCAAATGAAGAAATTAAAATTACAGTTTTACACATTTTTGTTCTCAGTGAGGACTGCATTATATGTATGTATGTGAAGCCTGTCTCATTTTGCATCAGAAAATAAATGCTAATATTCATTTGTACACAATTAAGACATACTGCTAATCTTAAGGATAAATTCAACCCATTCTATAAAGTGGCAAGCACAGATTGGTGGCATATTACACTGCCCTGTTGAAACAACGCTTCATTAGGAAATTTGATAAACATAGAGAGGTGCAGGTAATCGTGGAAGATCCGTTAACTTGAAATTCACCCAGGAAATGTGGATGCCCCTTAGATTGTAGCCTATAGTCTACATGCCAAAACAGCTGTTACATGTATTAATCAAATTGTGCCACTTAAGATCACCATTCTGTTGTTTTAATTCTATTCTTCATCTTCATTCCAATCACTGATCTGTAGGCACTGACAAACAATCCTGCTTGCCATATTTTGTGAAGGATCTCTATTTAAACTGACATCAATGCCTACAATTCTTTATGAGTTATGCCATCTGGCATGATTGATGGCATGGGGGGTTGTCCATTCATCTGATTATTTTGAGTAGAAATATCCATATGTACCCTTGATACCTGGAGATTTAGCAAAAAATTCTAATGTCAATAATAATATGAGGTACAAACTAGGATATCCGTCAACATTTATTCATGTTAAATGAACAGTCAGACAAATATGAATGCATTTGCCATTCAAAGGACTGCTATTTTATAGCTCTTTTTTGATGCTGTTCCTAAGACTTTTGGCTGCGTAATTTCTTCCTTACATATAAAAATTAATTTGACTAGTCCAGTAATAGAATATCAGTTTCGTAGATCAAACTTAACTTCATCACAAAAATAACCCTAGATCTCAGATGGTCTAATATTTGTTGTCTGTTTTAAGAAAACCTACAAATGTGAATTTCAATAGCAGTTTTTAAAATAATCATTAAATACATCTTAATTTTAAAAAATTCTGAAATTTTATTTGTGGTTATCTGCTATAGAATCATTTGCTATTATTGAACAGGAAAGTAAAACATAAAATTATTTTTAGTAGTTCATTGCCTATTAAATCAGTCATTTTATAACAGTTGCTGATATTTTATATTGCTCATTTTTATACATTGCTATATAAAGTTTTATATTTTGCTTTATAAAATTAGATGAAAATTATGTGCAACTAAAAATCAGAATTTGCTATGCAATGAGCATATAACACAAATTATTATTATTATTTTTCAGATGACTGGTATTCAATTATTGGAAATTTCACAAAATTTGGACTGGGTGTGGCTTCTATTACATTTGATGTTATATTTATGGTTCAACATTTTTGCCTCTACAGGAGAAAATCGCATGCTGATTCTCAAGAAAGTTCATTAATGGAATAAAATCTGGATTTTTTAAAAGACAAAGTACCCATAAAATAGTTTCATTCTTTAAAGATATAAGTTCTGAAAATATTTTAATCTTAATGTGCTAACTTTGATGTTTCAAGTAAACTGTGTTTATGTAATGCTTTTAAACAAAGTTAAGGAATACTAATCAAATAGTTGATCTGCATGTCTTTTCTTTATGAGCTTATTGTATGTTATTTTGAAAGTGCTGCAAAAATAGCATGAAATTTATTCCAATTTTTATATTTTATTTCCTGGGAACTCAAATTTCCAGTAAAACAAGATTTAAAACATTAATGACTGACCTTCTCTTGACAAAGTAAAAAAGTAATAATACAGCTTTTTCCATATGTATTTTTTCTACGTCATTTGTTCTTATTTAAAAGAAGAGTTTATTTTGCCGTTTTTCACTAACAGTCTTATTTTAATTTTTACAATTTCAATATTTGTTTGGCTGGTTTAGTTATTACTTCACAATATATGTACTTTTAATCTGAAATTATATCAGATGTCATCTGTAAAATTAATGTGTTAATTGTGATGATTAATTTCAAAGACAATGATTAATTTCAACTGTTAAGTAACAAATCAAAAATAAATGCTCTTGAACGGTTATTAATGCATTTTTATATGAGCCAGTTATGCAGATTTAGAAATCATTGATGAAAATGTAACCTGATGTTGGGTACAGGCTGTTAATTATGACAAAAACTAATCAATTTAATAAAATCTCAGTAGGTAAATTAATAATTTATTTACATAGAATACATTGTTTTCAAAGAAATTAACAGCTTTTAAGGTAGTTGGAGAAAAGCGTGTTAATAAAACTTAAAAAATACTATGATCTGCATGAAATTTTTGTCCTTTTTCAATCTTTCGATAATTATATTTAGATGACTGAGGACAAAGTGTTATTTATATATTTATTTTTATTTTAGTATCTACATTGTGAATGTGTATTATAAATTTGTAGTTTTCCAAGTTGTAACTTTTCATTGTATTGGCTGTAAATATCTGTTAAATTGAATGTTATAATGTAAATAACTTATTTAAACAGTTCTGCATTTTATGGGAATAATGTAAATTGTGTATAAAGAAATTTATAATGTACTAATTTATTATATTTTAGTACAGAATGGCAGTAATGCTAAAATATGCCAAAGCTTTTATTCACTTTGTTCTTCTCCACTAGTCATTAATTTTAAGCACTAGATTAAAATTGATGGTTTATTGTATAGCTTATTAAACATTATGAATAAAGTAAAGATCTTTGTATAATTTATTTCTGGTCTAGTGTTGATGTCATTATTCAGTTATTTTTAAATAAAAATTAAAAAATCTTATGTGCATTTTGATTGGTTGCAAAAGGTGGAGTAAAAATCAAAATAAAATGACAAAAGTTTACAGTATAATAAATAGTAGATTAAATTTTAAAGATAAGGTGTACTCTGTTCTTCAACAGCAAATGAAAAATGAGAATCAAAGCTTATCATTGTAGAACTTCAAATCATGTACAGTCAAAAGTTGTTAAACCGGACTCGTTGGGACTTCGGCGATTCTGGATTATAGATCATCAGTTTAAATCTGGTAAGATGGCATGCAGAAATTATAAAATTAAAAATATGAAACCGTAATTTATGAAATAAAGAACAATTATGATCTAAAGGGTATCAAAATTTACAAAAAAAAAAAAAAAAAAAAAAAAAAAAAAAAAAAAAAAAGGCTTAATATGTATTTGTTTACTTTATTAAACTTTTTTTTTCAATGTAAGTTGTTTAAGTTGCTTCGTTTTTTATGTGATAATACATTCTCTTTAATTCTATAAGCAGACATAATTTCTTGTTCAGTTACAAAGTTCTGCTGTTCAAGTCCTATAATTGCTGTGTCTACCGACTAATTTGTCAATCGAAATTTTTTCGTTTTGAATAACTTCTGTCACTTTCTTCGCTTTCGGACGCGAATTATAATGACGAGGAATTTGATTTAAATCATATCAAAGACGGAGTACATTGAGATGAAATACTACATTTAGTAAGGAATTCTAAGCCAAATAAAATAAAAACATCTGCCCTGAAGATAAGGATAATGCTGACAGATCAACTTCCAATTTATTGCGTGCCGCGGCGTTAAAGATAAACAAGTTTAGATAAACAAAGGATATGCCTTTATCCATTTTTTGCAGCAATTCCACTTTTTGTTTAATAAACTTCGAAACATACTTTCGCTTTGTATATCAGAAATTCTATTTGACATAATCGAAAGTTCAAGCTTACTTTTATAAAATTGCTCTAACAGTCTGCAAAAAGTAATAAGCCGGATCCAATTCGAAGATTAAGGAACAACGCAATCTGCAACATTAACTGAAATAGATATTAGCTTATACCGTCCGTTATACATTAAACGCGCACTCGTAAACGAATTTTGAGCATGCGCACAAGCATATTCGCAGCCGTAAAGGTCTTACGCGACGCATGCGCAGAAAGTTTGTAGCTTTGAGGTCCAGATTATAGATCATTCCAGATTATGGGTGTCCGAATTAACGACTTTTGACTGTATTATCATATTAATACATAATCTTCCAAATCTCTAACTTAATATACTAACTTCTGGCAATTTGCCAATAAATATATAGCTAAACAGTTTTAAATTCCCATAATGAAAGATACTTTGTACTGTTTTGAAATTTTCATATATAGAGACTTTCACTTCATTAGGCTATGTTCTGTTTTTGTGTCTCATTATCTGTTTATTATAACAAAATCTGGTACGTTCGTATGGATTTGGAGTGAATAATGACGGCACTACTTGATGAAATATCGAAACACACTTTATTTAGCCAATATTAATCAGGACAAATCCAAAGTCACTTTTTATAGTCGTCGAAGATCTACTATAAACATGCTGGAACAATCAGCGACATAGCCTTCAGGCTATCACGGTGAAGATAGCTTCATGGCAAAGCACCAGAGTACAGCTCTTGACTCTGCTTGGTCGTTCTCAGAACTCCACGTACTCTCGGGACTCTCCACGCTACAACTTGTGATGCACTCAACGACATGCAGAGCACAGTTCCCCAACTCTTCGGTTCAGTCGTTCTTGGAACTTAACACACTCTCTCAACAATGCACTAACCACGATACACTAAGAGACTCTTCGATGCACTCGGCGACTCGCTCGGCACTCGCTGTCTGGCTGTCAAATCGATCGACTCCTCACCGACTGACTATCTCTCTTGCCCTCTACGAGGCATACTCACTAACTGCGGATCAGCAGGAATTATATAGCTTTTGGATTGTGTTCGAGAACATTCTGGGCTAAACTGGTAAGAATTCGTTCCAAAAGCTTCTCCATCCATCCATGGCATATTGCCAAATGTGGTAGCCCTGCCTTCCCTTGACAACCCTAAACCTGCCTTGCGGGAAAGCTACAAATCTCGATGCACTCAACGACACACAAAGCACAGCTCCCGACTCTTAGGTTCAGCCATTCCCGAGCTCAGTGATGCACTAACAGTGATACACTAAGAGACTCTTTCAATGCACTCGACGACCCACTCGGCACTCGCTGCCGGGCTGTCAACTCGATCGGCTCCGCTCGGACTAACTCGAGATGCACTAACTGACTGCGGACCAGCAAGGTTTATAAACCTTATATATAGTTTATATAGTGTTCGAGAACTTCGTGGGCTAAAACGGTAAGAATTCATTCCAGAAGGTTATCCATCCGTCCATGGCATATTGCCAAATGTGGCAACCCTGCCTTCCCTTGTCATTTTATGGCAACCCTAAACCTGCTTTGCCAGGAAGCTATCTCAGCTCACATGTAGATTTTGCAACAATATTATATTTACTTTTCAGAATGATATTTATTTACTACCATATTAGGGACTTTTTCTGATTATTAAAGATCTGTTCAGATGATGGTATAAATGTCATAATTGGTTCAAGCCCAGCTTCATTGCTAGGTAATTAAACCTTGCTATGTCAAAAAACTGGTTTAGGGGTTTTGGCATAAAGTTCAAAGTTTTCAACTCTCTGCTGATTTGGTATAAAAATCGATCAACCAGAGCAAACGTGTAATTTAGAGAGGGAAAGCTGTAGACACATCCAAGGCCTGCTCAAGTTAAGGTTGTCTAATCGCTGCGGCTTAGACTCTATTTCGCAGGTGTGAGAACTCCAGTATTTAATTACTTATGACTATGCCTCTAGGACATTAATACCACTGTCTGAATGGAACCTTACTGTTATTGGCCAAAACCATGTTTTTTCTTTGGGAGGGATGCAGTCATCAATTATTATCTTAGACCTGGCCAGGTTGTTTTATCTTAATTCTTCCACGACTAAATACAAAATATATCATTATATTATTTAGGTAGTTATTATAAACAATAAAACAAATCAAAAAGTCATATTTTATTTATCTTTTTACATTCCTGCTTTGACAGAAAATGAAAATGAGATGCCTATTACCCAATAAAAGAATTAACAGTAAATGAAAGCAACTGAATAGTTCTGAGAGAAGTTAAATGTGAATGTAGCAAAATTAAAATTTAAACGATTTACCATGTCCCTAACAGTTATTACGCAGCTTAGATTTTTGCAATAGTTGGATGTATACATACTCTTCCAATTAAAAAAAATAATGCAAATATTTATGTATTGGCATTTTTAAATTTGAAAACTCAGTTTCATAAAAACTGTGAAATTATTTTTTATGTGGTTTTATCCCTATAGTTATATATAGTAAAATTTTATGTGCAATTTAAAAACTAAAACACAAAAGTTTGATTCCCATTCGATAAAAATTCACTAAGATGATTTATTTCAAAATCTGGGATTTCTAACATCTTTCCAGCTTAATCTGAGGTTAATCCCCCCCCCCAATTTCATTTAGATATTCTGTTGCGATTTTCTATTTTACATTTTTTAATATAATTTTATCACATACTGTATGCCTAAAGAATTTTCACATACGTAAATTATAAGTTTTTAAATGGTAAAACTACATTATTAGTATTCTCATGCAATTTATTATTTTAGAATCATAGCCTATGATTAATGCTAAAAAATTTATTAAACTAGAAATATTTTTCATTCTTATTTTATGCAAATAATAACAGTTACCAGTAAGCTTGTGTCAATACTACAGCCTACCACAGTTTTCTCGAATAGAAGTTTTATAAGATTATTTGAATAAGATCACCTTTTTTGAAAAATTTATATTGATCAGTACTTTTCATGGTAATCCATATAGCAGTGTTTATCATATAATCTGCTACTTCAGAAACCTTCTTCTAAACTGATATTTAATTTTTAATTATGTACAAATGCACACATTTTGCACTTGTGCACAACCTAAGAATGTAATCACACACTTTAAATATCTCAGTCAATTTTTGTCATACATGAAATAAACATTCTAAATTTTATTTTTTGAATAAGTATAAACAGTAACTAAACATAGTTATAAGGATTGGGAGCCACATAAAAATATCCTGTGATTTTTTACAAAATTGATTTCCTGAAATTACAAAATGCCATAAAATAATATTTTTTTTTTTTTTTTTTTTTTTTTTTTTTATTTAAAATACTTTTGTAAATGGAAGCATATGTCTATGTATGCCAAAAATCATTCATCAATATGTCTCCAGCAATAGCTGTGAGAGATCAAGAACGAATAGCCTAATCATAGTATATTCATATATATACAATAGGGAACTTTTAGAACTTGCATTGTATCAGATAACTTTAAAACCACATAAAAATAAACTACACAAAAAGAGACTTGATTGTATAAATGAATTTTAAAAAAGTGATCAGTTATGCATTAAAAAATAATTTTATTTATTAACTTTTTAGATTCCTAAAAAACAAGTTTCATGAATAAATCTTTCAAAATATAATAAAATTTTAAAATGTAAAACATCAGTAATATAAAGAATACTAGTAGAAGCAGGATTTGGACTGGGAACTTTTAGTTAGTAGATTTTTATGCTAATCACAAGATTATCTTACTTTGGTATGAAAGAAGGAACTTGAATAATAATAATGTTATATAGAATTTTAGCCTTTTTTATTTTTTCCCCTTTTCAATTAAGCAGTGCAAGCTTTTCTTTCATACACATATTCACTTTTAAGTTCTTTTATATGGAGGTCAGTCTGAAATTTCTGAGATAGATGCTGACAAAGTATGGCAGACAAATATTAATTGTTAGCTTTGAAAATCTGCTGATCAAGTGTTTTAGCCCAGCAGCTGACTTTTTTATTGGCTGGTTGCAAGTAGTTCAGTGTAGAATAAATTTTAGGCAGAAGGAAAAATGGAGTTGATGCAAGAACATCATTGT